CTCTCTCTCTTCTCTCTCTCTCTCTCTCTCTCTCTCTCTCTTCTCTCTCTCTTTCTCTCCTCTCCCTACCCTCCCTACCCTCCCTCTCCCTATCTCCTCCCCCCTCACCCCCCCCTCTCTCTTCTCTCTCTCTCTCTCTCTCTCTCTCTCTCTCTCTCTCTCTCTCTCTCTCTCTCTCTCTCTCTCTCTCTCTCTCTCTCTCTCCCTCCCTCCCCCTCCACCCCCTCCCCCTCCCCTCTCTTCTCTCCCCCTCCCCGCGTCCTCTCTCTCTCTCTCTCTCCCTCTCCTCTCCCTCTCCCCTCTCCCTCCCTCCCTCCCTCCCTTCCCCTCTCTCTCTCTCTCTCTCTTCTCTCTCTCTCTCTCTCTTGCTCTCTCTCTCTCTCTCTCTCTCTCTCTCTCTCTTCTCTCTCTTCTCTCTTCTCTCTCTCTCCGTCCTGTGATGTGGGGGGGTCTTTTTTTTGGTTTTTAAAAACTGAGTACGGATCGGAATTTCTTGAAGTTTAATTTCAGCGGTCCTAACTTCCCGAAGAAAGCCGGTTTTCTTGTAAACAGAGTAGTGTTGCACATTTAAACAACTAATCGAACGATAGAGGGGAGAGAGTTGAGAGCAGAGAGGAAGGAGGGAAGGAGGAGAAGAAGAGAGGGAGAGAGAAGAGAGGAAGGATAGAAAGGAGAGGAGATAGGGAAGGGAGGGAAGGAGAGAGGAGTGAGGGGGAAAGAGAGAGAGAGGAAGAGTGACAGGGCGGTGCAGAGAGAGAGAGGAAGGAGTTGGGAGTGAGGGAGAGAGAGAAGAGAGGGAGGAAGGCAGGAGTGAGGGAGAAAGAGAGGAAGGAGAGAACAGAAAGAGAGAGGGGGCAGGGGATGGAGACAGAAAGACAAAGTTAGAGTTAGAAAAAGAAATAATATGGCCTAAGCTTTGCGAAGGTAACCGTAATCTCACTGGACCCAAATCGATTTAGATTCATGTAGGAAAAAAATGAAAAAGAATCTGATACCGATAATAATACTAGTAATAATTGATTGCTAGCAACATAAGATTGATCACTCCGCAAATCTGATAATTATGTGTAAGCATCGTGACATAAATTACAGACCTCATCTTCCCTCCCCCGCTACGATCGAACTCAACCTCCCCCCCCCCCATATATATGTATATATACATATATATTATATATATGTAATATTATATGTATATATATGCTATGGTTATGTATGTATTGTAATGTGATTCATGTGTGTGTGTTTGTGTGGGAGAGAGAGAAGATGAGAGTGAGAGAGAGAGACGAGTAAAGATGATGAGAGAGAAAGAGGCGACGAGAGAGAGAGACGAGAGAAAGGGAGAGAGAGAGGAGGAGAGAGGAGACTGAAAAATGCGAAACTTGGAGGATGTGGAGACTCGAGACTGATCGAGAGAGAGAGAGAGAGGAAGAGAGCAGAGAGGGAGAGAGAGAGAGGGGTAATTAGCAGTAAA